CATCTTACCCATGGCTTCCTGGGTACTGCAGTCTACCTCTCGAGTGAGCTGGTAGGAAGTTGAGATTCTCAAGAAACACATTAGAATAAGGCAGAGACTCAAGGGAGTTATGGAAGATGCTGCCCTACCAAGATGGAAGCAAGGAGCCTTCTGCATTCCCTGCTTTGGACTACTTTTGCCACCATTCTTTGCTAGTGCTACTCGAGCTGACACGGGCAGTACTTGAAGTCCAAAGCAGATATTGCCACTTCCAGGAAGAACAGAAACCTTTGACTTAAGTTGCCCAACCACATGAGCCATCAGCCTTTCATTTGTATTGAGGGTATTCTGGGAGCAAATAATGCTGAAATGAGATTAGTACTGAGAATGTTTCATCAAAAGAGTATGATGTTGAACATGAGTTACTGAAAAAAGAATAGACTTAGAAAAGACCTTGATAGTAGATTTTTGGTTTTGGTTTTAAGAACTGGATGTAACAGGCATTTAGACTTTTGGAAAGAATATATTCTTTACTGCTTAAGGTAAAAAAACTGCTTGGGGCAGCTTCTCTTTCTGCTCGTTGCAAATCCTGCTCTTCGAAAGGAGCCAAGGATTATAGGAAGATAATGCCAGCTCAATGACTGGGTTCATTCAGATTTCCCTGGATTTTCTTTCTGTTTAGAAGGTGCCATTTTCTAGATGTACTCCAAGTTGCCTCCCAGGATACACCAAGCTCGTGAGAGAGGGAGCACCAGTTTGCTGCTATGACTGCTCTCCATGTACAGATGGAACAATCTCCACAGAGGAAGGTAAGTGCCCCAAGAACAAAGAAGGAGCACCACCAGAGTCCAAAGCAGGCCTGATCTTGCTTTGTCCCCAGTGTGAACCAGACAGTTGTGTGGGAGGTGCATGTGGGTTTTCATGACAATGGGAACCTGACCCCTTATTAGTAAAACAGGCTTTCTAAGAGAGGAGATTTATTTATTGGAAATACATTATAGGGAGAACCAAAGCTAACTAACTACTTCTCACTGGGAGGGGCGTGCAAGAGCAGGCAGATCATGTAGGTGTTCCTTGGAAGATAGGTAGAAGGAAGTGACTTACCTTAAAAAAATTTTTAACAAAGAGTGGTCAGCTTGACAAAGAGGGAAGAGAGAGGAAATCCTTACTGCTCAACATATACCCAGCTGTCCCCTTGGGTCAGTTTGTCATCAGCTGCTGAATGCCACTGAATTCACTAGCTACAAATACAACTGCTTGCTTTTCAGATGCAGCCCATTGTGAGAAGTGCCCAGATGACCAGCATTCCAATAAAAAGCGAGACCAGTGTGTCCCCAAGATTATAAGTTTCCTGTCCCATCAAGAAATGTTGGGTCTCATCCTGACTCTCTTTGCACTTGGGTTGTCCATAACTACTGCCTTTGTTCTAGGAATCGTTATTAAATACCGAGAAACTCCCATAGTCAAAGCCAACAACCGGGACCTCACCTACATTCTCCTGGTCTCCCTCCTGCTTTCCTTCTTGACTTCCCTGCTGTTCATCGGTCGCCCCAAGAAAGTGACCTGCCTCCTCCAAGTCACCTTCAGTGTTGTTTTCTCAGTTGCTGTATCCTGCTTGCTGGCCAAGACTGTCATGGTGGTGGTAGCCTTTCTGGCCACAAAGCCAGGCAGCAGGATGAGGAAATGGCTGGGAAAGAGTCTGGCCAACTCCATTGTCTTGTCCTGCTCTGGGATTCAGGTGGGCATCTGCATCATATGGCTGGGAATCTCTCCCCCATTTCCAGATGCCAACCTATATTCCCACCCAGGACAGATCCTGCTGCAATGCAGTGAAGGCTCGGTCACCATGTTCTACACTGTCCTCAGCTACATGGGGTTTCTGGCCTCCACTTGTTTCTTGGTGGCTTTCCTGGCCCGCAAACTGCCAGGGACGTTTAATGAAGCCAAGTTGATCACCTTCAGCATGTTGGTTTTCTGT